CTATAAGAAATGATGAGCAAGCAGACTTCAGAAAAACCTAGAAAGACTTGTATGGCCTGGTGAAGTGAGCAGAACCAGGAGAACGTTGTATGCAGTAACAGCCACGTTGTGCGATGACTAACTTTGATACACTTAGCTCTTCTTAGCAATGCAAGGATCTAAGACATCTCCAAAAGTCTCATGATGGAAAATGCTATCCACATCCAGAGAAAAAACTATGGAGTTTGAATGCAGATCAAAGCATGCTATTTGCTCCTTTTTTTCCCTTCTGTTTTGTTTTGTTTCTTCTTTCTTGTGGTTCCTCCTATTGGTTCTAATTCTTTTTTACATGACTAATGTGAAAATTATTTTTTTTTAAAAAAAGGCCTTGAAGGATTGGATACATGAGTGAAACACAGCAACTGAAAACTGTCCCTTATTCAAAAGCATTAGAGTAGGTAGAAAAGGGATAGGATAACTCTACATGTTATGATGTAGTATACTTGTGTGGAAAATGTCACCACTCTGCTAGGGAAAGCCTAGCAGAGAATATTCGAGTGAGGGTATAGTAGGGAGATACAAGTATGATCCTACTGTGGGAATATACTACAGATAGATAACCTGGTCAAGTTGAAGAAGTTGAAAATGAGTTCTAGATACAAATCACAAAAAATAGCAGAGAACCAAGATGTAATCTGGAGGATTGCAGCTATCTGGGCATCTTCTTGGAACTCTTTTCTTCATTAAGAGCAGAGCATCTGAAGCTTTCTTGACCTAGTTTGTTGGTAATGTCATCTTCAGAAAGCAGAAGAAACACATTTTAAAAAAATGTTAGGATGACAAGGGGAAACTTGTTATCAAAATAGAAACAAAAAGAACCTTTGTATCAAGTGCTAATACCATCCTAAAGGCCCTAATAGCCAAGGAAAATACTGACTCTACTCTGGCATATATCCTAGACTTTAAGAATTTCAGAGAAAAGATAGGTATAATTCTCATAGTCTAGGATGAAGAACGGAAGATGGAAGACTACCATGTCAGAGAGACTCCTCTTACAGATGTGCTTCCTGTGTAACTAACTGTTCCACAAGTTTCATGAATTTAGGATCTTTTGGCTTTGTGAATTTTGATATATTGTGCCCAAAACTCACAGTCTCACAAATCTCTCTTTGAAAACAAGTGTACAAATTTCCTATGCTCATAGAATTAAAAGACATATTGATCATATTGGAAGTTCAGTCCATTGACAAGTATGGAAATCATTGTTTATTAAGAAAATAATTAGTTCAACCAAATAACTACTTGGCATCATAAACTTAGCATTACCTATTTCTAATAGTAAACACATACACACCACAGTTGTGCAGAGATGACACATTTACAGAAGGGAGTGAACAGAGGTAAAGGTTCAAAATAAGGGGAAGACATGCAGAGCTAGAATACTGGGGACAGAAGTAGAGACTGTGACTTTCCATCTAAGTACCTTTGGGAAGATAAGACAGGACAATGAAGAGAGAAAGTGACAGTAGCAAATGTCCTTTGAGCTCTTCTCCAAGCTAAAGGGAGAAAAAGATTTAAACCCCCCTCCCCCATACACACAGTAAATATTATCCAACACAAACAAGAAGTAACAGCAAAAGAGAAAGAAGAGGAAAGGAAGGAAATACATACAAGAAATTACCTTTTCAAAACAATGGCAAGATAGTAAGAGAGAAAAGCCCACTCTCCAACACCCTCCCACCCCCTTCCCCCAAAACCGTCTCTACTCTTCAATACATATACAAACATTTCTTTTTTTTCAAAACTGCAAATACAGTTATCACTGACATCCTTGCTTTCCCATACATAGTATGAATATATGTAGAAAACTGTTTTGGCCTATCTCTTTCACTTTTAGCCTTGAAAACATTTGTTTCTTCTTTATATAAACAAGTTAGATAGCTACACAAAAGATCATTATAGAACTCTTAGGTAGCTCCTTCAAGAACAATCCTAATTGGTGACTTACTGGAGAATGAGTTCTGCCAAATTTTGGTCTGGGAATTACAAGCCGACATTGTGTAGTTTGGGGAAGGGGGCAGGGAGATCTTGGTTTCTTTTAATACTGTTTTTATCTTGAGTAGTATTTTGTTCCAGAATTGTTCATTCATGTCCTTTATCTTCATACTGACCAAGAGGTATAATAATTAAGTTTGTGGTCAGCAAGTTTGGGGCACTGCCTCTTTCAAGGGACAAAAAAATAATATCTTCAGAAAAAGTCCAACCACTGGCTTTGTGAGCTTGTTACTCCAATCCTATCCTAATGCTCCTGTACATATATTTATCTGCCTATAGACCATTCAATATTCAGGTGTGACAACTCAGAATCATTGTTAGGATTTCAGCATGTCTTTCACGGGGGCAGCTAGGTGGCACAGCAGATAGAGCAAGGGCCCTAGAGTCAGGAGGACTCATCTTCCTGAGTTCAAATGTGGCCTCAGACACTTACTAGCTGTGTAACCCTGGGCAAGTCACTTAACTCTGTTTGCCTCAGTTTCCTCATCTGAAAAATGAGCAGAAGAAAATGGCAACTCACTCCAGTATCTTTGCCAAGAAAACCTCAAATGGAGTCACAAAGAGTTGGACACAACTAAATGAATGAATGTCTTTCATTAGCACCCTGCTGAAGGGTCTATTAACACTCAAGAACAAAATTTTATCAACACAGTGTAGAGTGATTCCAATGAAGAAGAAAAGAATAAGCATCTAATTAAATCCATCTGGCTATGGAGAACTCTCTGATAAGCTCATATTTTAAAAGGACACATGCAACTAAAAGTAGGGGCACACAACCAAAGGATGTGGCATGAACCAGTAAAAATAATGTCAAGAAGAACAAAGTTCATAATGAGCTGAGGCTTATGAAAAAATACTACGGACAAGAAAAGATGTGTTGGGGTTTGCCTTTTTAAAAAATTATACCCAGGAAAAAGATGTTTTGGGTACATGGACAATGTTAATGGATGACCAAGAGAGAGCAGAAATAATTAATTCCCATTTTATTTCCATATTGTCTTATCAAAAGTGAATTAACTTTTTTTTTCTTTTTGGTGAGGCAATCGGGGTTAAGTGACTTGCCCAGGGTCACATAGCTAGTAAGTATCAAGTGTCTGAGGCTGGATTTGAACTCAGGTCCTCCTGACTCCAAGGCTGGAGCTCCATCCACTGTGCCCTCTAGCTGCCCCAGTAAATTAACTTCTGAATGAAAAGGGTGAAACAAAAACTAAGAGGAAATTGGAACCTAAACTATATAGGGGACAGACACAGGTATTCAGGGTGAGTCCAAATCACTTATCCTGGATGACTCCTATGGTAATTAGGATAACCCTAATTAGTTTTATCTAATACTTTAACGCTTAAAAAGCATTTTCCACATAACAAAATGTCCAATCAATCGACAAACATTTATTAGGCACTTACTGTATGTTAGGCACTTGGGATACAAATACAAGGAATAAAATAACCTCTGCTTTGAAGGACTTTACATTCTCTCAGAGGGAGACTATACATAGGTACACATACACACACACATAGAATATGAGGCAATTAGAGAGGAAGGGCAATAGATGCTGGGGGGATCAGGAGCAAATATATTCCAGGCATGTAGGATGGTCAGAGCGAAGTCACTAAGACAGGAGGTGGAGTGCCATGTATGAGGAACTGGGAGAAATCCAGTTTGTGAGTGTGGGAAGAGGAGTAATATATAATGAGACTGGAAAGATAAGTTTGCCAGCTTGTGTAGGACTTAAAAAGCCAGAGGAGTTTTTATGTTATCCTAGAGGGAATAGGGAGCCACTTTAATTTCTTGAGTGGAAAAAGATGCTTAAGGAAATCACTTTGGGAACCAAGTACAGGATAAATTGGAGTAGGGAGAAATCAGAGGTTGGGAGAGTAATAAAAGGCCAAGGTTAACCGTTTATGCAAGAAGTGATAAGGGTCACAATTAAGATGGTGTTTGTGTGAAAAGAGGGGTCAGATCTAGAGATGTTATAGTGGTAGAAATGGCAACTGATGAGATATGTGGGGCAAGGGAGAGTAAGGGATAAGCCTGGGTACCCTCAGAGCATATATTTGCATTTTAACAGACTTCAAGGACTAAACCTGTAGGAATGGTTTTTGCTTTGTTTTGTTTGGAGTAGTTTGTTTGTTTTTTTGAAACTAGGCCTCCCTATCTCATGTGGGTTGGAACTGCGGGGGCTGTCCTTGGGCCAAATCCCACAGCTGGTCAACACAGCAAGTTTAACTCTTCTCTGTTTTCGACTCTGGCAAGTTAACCTCCTTTTAGGCGGCTCCCAGGGCTCACCATATTTGTGCCAGATTTATTGTGGCTTTAGCCCTGCAGGAGCTCAGAATTCTGGAACTCAAAAGACCACCAGCCTCAGCCTCAGCCTCCCCCATGCCTAGCCCAACACGGGAATTTCCGGCTCAATGTTAGAGAAAGAAGGAATTTTAGGAAGGGGGATTTTTTTTTTTGGCCCCACTTGACAATACCTTACATTTGTACAACACTGCTGTATACAAAGCATATGAATTCATCATCAGGAAATCTCATTATCCTGCAAAATTGTAATCTGCCTAGTGCTCACATCTCATCAAGACCCTATGCCCCTCTTATTGGACCCTCGGACTCAAGGATAGAACCCTGGACTCCAGGGTCTTTATTTAAGGAAGGGGCTCAGCACATTCTTCTCCCCATTTCCCACCAGCTACACTGTTTTTGGACCTTCATCATACCCCCACTCTGGGTACCTTCCTTTTCCCCCCATCCTTCCTCTATCTCCCCTTTTCAGCTCTTTTTGGTGCCTTTCCCAATTAGATTGTAAATTCCTTGAGAGCAGGGATTTGTCTACCCAGATTAGATTGTAAGCTCCTTGGGGGCAGGGACCATCTTTGCTTTTATTTGTATTTATATCCTCAGGCCTTAGCACAGTGTCTGGCACATAGTAGGAGCTTAATAAATGTTTATTGACTGAATTACATTTGTATAACACTTTGAGGTGTTAATAGTAATAATAGTAAAAGTACTTTCTCATTCATGATCTCATTTGATCTTCACAGTCTTATGAGACAGGCAGAGCACATATATATAGTTATCCCTCTGTTATAGAGAAATATACATATGAGAAAACTGAGAGCCAGAGAGGTGGCCTATCTAAACTCAGGTGACTAGAAAATGGCAGAGTAAGGTCTAGAACCCATGCCTGAAGCACAGAATTTAGGCTGAAAGACCTTAGGGAATCATTTAATCCTACCCAATCTTTTTAAAGATAAAGAAACTGAGGCCCCAAAAAACTCATAGATACCACTACTGAACTGTTGTCAGTGATCTTTGAGAAACTATGGAGACAAGTGAGGTACTCTGGGACCAGAAAAAGGCAAATATGGTCCTGGTTTTCAAGAACATATGGGAATAGATTCCTCAAATTACACACCTATGAACCCCAACAAAATTTCTGAACAGATGATTAAATAGATGGTTTGTGAACATTTGTAAAGAGACATGGTAATCACTAAGCATGAAGAATAGGTTTACTAAGAAAAAAAAAGCCAGATTCATTCAACGTCACAGAATCTCAGAGTTAGAAGGGATATTAGAGCCATCTAGTTCAGACTGTGTCTGAATATGAATTCTCTCCACAACATTTGCAAAAAGGAGTTTGTTTAATGCCCTGTGGGGAGGGGAAATCTCTCCTTCATCCACTTCCCTGTGTTTTGCATCCATTATTCTACTTCTGCCCACTGGGGCCAAATGGAACAAATTATTTGAAGACAGTTTTCATGTCCATAGACCCACTCCAAATTTTCTCTTTCCTATTTATATTCTGGTCATCACCACCCCTTTCCCAATGGACATGGTTTAACTTGTCAATAAGAGAGGGTATGGGGACTGGGCCTATAATTTCATTGGTATAGGGAATTCTCAGTATAGGGAGTACTGGTATAGAGGAAATTCATTCTACCAGTTGCAGGTCAGTACCGTCTCTACAATTTGTAATCTTAGAGAGTTGTCCAGATTACTGAGAGATTAAGAAATTTGTCCAGTGTCACAAAACCAGTATGTGTCAGAAGTGGGACTTGAACCCAGGTCTTCTTGGTTTTGAGATCAGGTATTTATACACTATGCCACACTATCTCCAACTTGTGAACATTCTTCCTAAAATATAGCACCCTGAACTGAATGCTCTAAACACAGTCTGAACAGGCCACCTATCACCTCCCAAGACTGAGTTACCAGGATGAAAGAGCAAAGAAATAGCATATACATAGATTAACTCAATTGTAGTGAGGCATTAGATAAAGGCCCACATGTCTTTGTTGACAAGATGGAGAAATGTGCTCAGGATTATAATGTAATTAGGTGGATTCATAACTGCTTTAATGAGAGGACCAAAAGAATGATCACTGTCAAGGCTCAGTCCTCAGCCCTATTTCTATTAAACATTTTTATGGGTGACTAATATGAGGACAAAGACTACATACTTATAAAATCCGCCACTAACATGAATTGGAAGAAAGATGGCTGATATGTCAGATGAATCACACTGCCTCACAAAATAACTCTGTCAGCTGGAAGAAGGGTCAGAATCCAGAGAGATGAAATATAAAGGTAGCATAATCTTGAGGCCTTTAACCATCCCAGTCACCAGCTTCTTTTCAATGCCCTTCATGAAATGTGTTACCCAGAACTGAATACTGCGTTTCAGATACGTTTGGCCAAGGAGCCCACCAATGTTAATGCAATCTAAGATCAATTTGCTTTTTTGGATTGTCATATTGAACTGCTGATTATTATTAAGCTTGCAGTCTAGAAGAAATTCCAGGTACTTTTTCAAATGACCTGTTTCCTATTTAAGCCAGAAACAGCCTTGTGGCTTTTTTTTCTTTTTTCTTTCTTAAATGGAAGGAAATAAGCAAAGCCATCTATTAAGCATTGCTAATGAAGAAATACAGTCTTCAGTTAGATTAACTTTAGCCAAAATGAAAATGAGGAACAGAAAATCCAGACATAGTCTCAGCTCTGAAGAAGTGTCTTTTGAAGCTGGAAAGAAAAAATACACATGTGAGAATTACAAGAACTGATACCAAGAAAACACATAAACAAGTGTGCATACACCAGTGTAGAGCTATTTTACTCTTCCAGGCTCTGATCAATCCAGCACCTGAGTAGTTAAATCATGTACCCCTCAACAATGAGTAATTTGTCCCTTACATTTTTACGCACCTTGCTTTATGGGAAAGATACATTCCTTAGGTATTAGATATAAAAAGGGAACTCTATGCATAAAGAAATCACAGACTAAATTCTTTTGTAAATTGGCCAATTACTTTTAATTTCTCTTTTTGGGAATAAAATGCAAATTTTTTTCATATTTTAATTTGAGGTAGCCAGGTGGTGCAAAAGGGTCTGGAAGTCAGAAAGACCTGAGTTCAAATCCAGACTCAGACATTGACTAGCTGTGTCACCTTGGGCAAATCACTTAACCTCTGTTTGCCGTGGTTCCTTCAAATTTAAAATGGGGATATCATAAATAGCATCTGTTTCCCATGATTGTTGTGAGGAAGAAATGAGGTAATATTTGTAAAGTGCCTAGCACAGTTCCTCATATATAGTAGGTGCTATAGAAATGCTGGTTATTATTTTTACCCTAAAATAGAAGGAGGGATAGAACACAATGTCATACTGTAGGATTAGGACATAGCAAACTAACTCTGTCCCTGCCCCTGCGCTATTTAAAATTTTTATCAGTGATTTGGACAAAAGGAGAGATAGCACACTTTTCAAATGTACAGATGACACACAGTTGGGGTGGGAAGGACAGTGGGTCGGCCAATACACTGAATAATGGGGGCAGGGATTCAAAAAGATCTTGGTGGGCTAAGGCTTTGGGCTGAGTCTACTAAGATGAAACTCAACAGGGGTAAATGTGAAGTCTTACACAAGGTTTTTAAAAATCAATTTTTTCACAAGTACAGAAGGGAGGAAGCATGGCTGGACTGCAGTTTGTCTGAAAAAGGATCTGGGGTTTTCAGTGGGCTACAAACTGAAGATGAATTGGCAGTGTGATGTGGCACCTAAGAAAAGCTAAGGTGACCTTGTGTTAAGGGAAGCATGACTTCCAGGTGTAATGGGGAAACTGACCAATGAAAGCCCAGTCTTTGGAGCATGCTCAGTGTTCTCTGCTTGTTGTATATTTGTATGGTAGCTTGGTGAGCCTAACTATGTGAGGGAGAGGTCTTTTCCCTCCATTTCAGGGTAGGCATAGGCATGCTCTGACTGTTGTCTGTTGGCTTACTGGAAGACGAAGAAAGGCCTTTAAGTTGGCCATTGAGCCCAAACAAATGGCCTTTGAACCAATACGCACACAAAAGGCTTGAATGACAAAACGTCTCCCTCTTCCCAGGTGGTGAACTAGGCAAGAACTATTGTAAGCCTCCAAACCTGGGGAGAGGTAGCAGCAGCAGAAGAGCAACTTCCATAGCTCCCCACCCTGCCACAATGTGGCTGTGAAGGCATGTCTGATACTTCTTTTGTCTGTGTATTTCTTTACTAATAATAATAATAGTTGAATGAGTGTTAGAGAGAGAACAGACCTGGTTATGATCTTGTGGGTGTCAAATGATAAGAAGAGTCAGCATAGATCTAGCAACTGGAGTCTGTAGCAAAATCTACCAATAGTTACATTAGCAAGTGCAGTGAAAAGACAGCCCTGAGGAGTGGGTTGCTTGATCCAGCTCAGCAATGAATCAATCTAGCCAAAAACATCATATTCTGTCTCTACACAGGAATAACGCCTCTTATCAGCTATACTCAGGGGTGTGCTGGTAAATGTTTAACAAACAGTTCTCCAAAAAATTGTATGCACAATGTACTTTTAGCTTTAATATATATTATTATCATTTTATCCATTGCTTTTTTTTTAAGGCAATTGAGATTAAGTGACTTGCCCAGAGTCACACAGCTAATAAGTGTCAAGTGTTTGGTCTGAGGCCAGATTTGAACTCAGATCCTCTGACTTCAGGGTCAGTGCTCTATCCACTGTGCCACCTAGCTGCCCATATCCACTGCTTTCTTAAGCCCAGACAATTAATAAAACATTAAGTCAAGCCCTGATTTGCAGCATTTGTTGATTTCTGAGGAATAAATGCTCATGCTGAAAATTTAATAATTAGCTCTCCTAATTCAGTTCAAGTCAGTCTAGTACAGCCCTATTTATGCTACACCTAGAAGTAAACTTGATGGAGGAATGTTTTGTAGCAACCATTTTAAGTTTGAGCCTCATCTCCACAGAGAGTGAGGTAGCTTAGTTTGCAAACTTTTATAATTTGGTTCTTGCTACATTTTCTTAGTAAATACCCCTTTGTAAAAACTAATAGCTAAAGTTAACTGGTCAATAAATAGTGGACAGAACCCACAAGATGGGGATGTGTGAACACTAATACTAGACATAACTCGAAATCCAGAGCAGTACCTTTTCTCTGGGGACCTGCCCTGCTGGTCCAGGTGTGGGATAGGAGGGAACGCCAGTGTCTGTGCTACACAGGGATAAGTAGGTATCATCTGTATGCTGTATGTCCTGGCCTCTGTGCATCATCGTTAGAGAAGGACATTGATAAGTGGGAAAATGCTCAGGGGGCAACCAGGAATGGGGATCAGATGGAAGAACTGGGGATGTGTAGCCTAGAGCAGAGAAGACTCTGGGAGGACACGGTAGCCTTATTCAAGGTTACGAAGGTCTATCAAGAGGAAGAAGGATTGGCCTCATTCTTTCTTTGACTCCAGGGGGGCAGGATTAGGAGCCACGGGTGGGAAGTGCCAAGAGACACATTAAAGCGTGACACCAGGAAAAATATGCTAACAATCCGAGCCATATATAAGTGGATGGGGCTATTTCAGGTAGCAATGGGTCCTCTATCACTGGAACTCTTCAGGAAGAGCCTGGATAATCACTTTTTTGAGTATGGGATGGTAGGGATTCCTTTCAGGTATGGTTAGAACTGGGTGGCAGCTGAGATACCTTCCAACTCTAAAATTGTGTGATTCTTTAATTATCCCCTTCATCTAATTTTCAAACCCTTTAATAAGCTACATAGCCTATAAGTCCTATTTTCTTCTTAAAAGAGAAATTGTTCATTTTGATAAATATCTGGGGATTCAGAGGCTAGTAAAACAAAACATTTTCAGAATGTTACCTTTCTCTTTGATGCAGCATTTTATTCAAATAATTCTTCAAGAATGACTGGATGTAGTTTCCAAAATGGGACTTGTATTGGCCTGGAAATTATCCTTTATGTTGACTTCGGAAAAGTTTGTTTCTGAAAGTGTTTTACAATATCCTTGACTCTCTTGATGATCAGGTTTCTCTGTATCATGAAGGCTAGTCGCATTAACTACAAAGAAAAAACTGTAATTTAGGGCTAGCCCTAGGCAAAATAGCAAAGCAGGCAAAATTCCTCTTCGGTACCCCACTTTTGGCACCCAACTTCCTTACAATGCTTCCCAACCTCCCTTGACCTGCAGATGCAGTTGCCTTCCACCACCTTCCCCAAACCAAGAACTACCTTTGCCATAATGCTCCTTTTCCCAGATCCTTAGACGCCTCTTCCATCCAAATAGAGTTTACCACTTCAGTGTCCCATTCCTTCAGGACCCAGCAAGTTAATATGACAAATGTTTTTGGAGATGTACTAAATTTGAACATAACTAATTAGCAAATAATGTATGATAATATAATAATATTATTAATTTATAACCATATAAATTTATTATTAATTGTAGGTTTATATGTATTAATAAGCATGTAGTGTATATGCTTTTTTTTTTAAACCAGAGGCCATATGGAGATAATGTCTTAACATGCAAGAGTAGAACATTGTGGCAGCCTAGACCTTTGGGTATTCACCAAGGATGGCTGGCTTCTCTAACTAATCCATTCTTCCTGAATTTCTATTTGTTCTCTGTTGTCAACCTCGACCTTCCTCTTCTGCCCTTAGTACCTCCAAAATTGTCTTTTTCCGACATGCCGTAACTCACCTCTTACTCAATCTTGTTTTTCTGAACTGACCATCCGTTATGTCCTCCTAGCATTCTTCATTTCACCTTAAAATTATTTCTTTTTAAGTCCCAAGTAAAATTTCACCTTCTACAGGAAGCCTTCCCCAACCCCTTTTAATTTCAGTGCTTTGCCTCTAATTATTTCCTATTTATCCTTTATATAGCTTGCATTGTATATATTTGTTTGTATGTTGTTTCCCCCATTAAATTGTAAGTTCTTTGAGGGCAGGGGCTGTCTTTTGCTTCTGTATGTATCCCCAGAACTTAGCACATAACAGGCACCTAATAAATGTTGATTAATTGATTGATCTTTCTCACTTCCCCAACTTCCATAATTTCTTTGCACATCTTCCTAACAATTCCCCCACAACCTCTTATCTTTTGCCATATAAAGTATAGCCCATATTCCCAAATGGCAATTTTTAAGCTTTTCTTTTAAATGCCTTAATTCTTCTTTCCCCTTCCAAGTACTGCTGTCCTAAGAATTCTAACACTTTTTTTCAACCAACTAAATATATAATTATAAATGAAGAATGGATATACAGCATGATTTGATAAATAAGTTAGCTTAAATAAATTAGTTTAAAATGACTGAAGATAACATATGGTGTATGTACAGTACATAATTTTCTTATCAGTTAGAAGCAGTCCTCTAGTTCTGTGCATACGGAATAAAGACAGCTGTGTTTATTTCAACAATTGGCATTCAAACAAATGTGTAATGTGTTTATTTAACATTAGCTTGATATCAAATTTAAAATATATTCTCATGTGAACACGAGCTTTTCTACATTTTTAACCTACTTTCCTAAGGGTCTTTCAAAAAAAAAATTACTTAATCATTATCCACATTCCTAATTCCCTTCCTTCCAAAAAAAAAATCCAACAAAAAAAACTCTCTTTAAACTCTTGAGAGAATGTCATAAAATATGTTCAATCCAATAAAGCTAGGAAAATAAATTCAACACCAACAGTACCAACACTGCTATGGTCCAAAAAAAGGAACTAAATTCATAGAAAGTCTTACATTTGCAACAGCAGACATAGGTTGCTATAGTAACAAATTAAATTTCTTGTATTTTAGTTTTCAAGAATAGTGTGGCAATAACATTTTTTTTTAAACACCAAATAACATCAGCATTTATTTCCTTCTGGGCTTAGAGTCCTGTGGGATAAACTGTACTTACCAATCAAGGAATTTTCATTTTCCTTTCTAATCTTCTTCTGTCGTTCCTAGAAATCATCATGATAAAATGCATATGTTGAACAGAAATTTGGTGTTCAATTTGCATTGCCATTAAGCTTCAAATCAGAGACCTCCCAAGGGGAGCAGAGCTAAGAGGAACTAAAAACTTCCTAATGGAGCACAATGAAAAATGATAGTTCTACTTGCTAAAATATTGCTGTTTTTCAGACTGTCATCAGCAGATCAGAAACTGTAAGAGGTCTTTAGAAAAAAAAATATTTTGTCTGAATAAATGGAAAAATAAACTACTGCTTTCACGACAGTGTTTACGTACACACAAAAAAATAGAAACATCTATTATCCTGAGCTTTTAGATTTCCAATGATCCATTACAATTCAATTGTTATAATTTTGATTTCAAGATGCACTAACAATGTCTCTGGGCACACTTAATTCAACGGACAACAACAATAACAAATCCAACGAAATAAGCATTTATTAAACACCTACTGTGTGCAGAGCACTGTGCTGCATACGGGGGAAGATACAAAGTTTAGATAAGACATGGTTCCTGTCCTCATGGAGCTCAAAGCACTGTAGGGGGGAATATGACATACACAAACAACTATAATACCAAATAATACATGAAAGGTTACACAAAACAAGTTTAAATAAAGAGCTATGTGAGCTTTGAGAAAAGGCATAGGTTGAGGGCATCAGAGGCAATAACTCATACTTTTAGAATAATCTCACCTGTACTCTCATCATCATCACTTAACATTAACTGAACCCTCACTGGGGGCCAAAATTATATTGGATATGTAGAATTTTGACTTATAAGGTTTCTACCTTCCCAGTCTTCCCACATCTATCAGTGAAATTTCCTGACAAAATAAATGGATCAACGACATCTTGTATCATAATAGAGGACCACTGAAGTCTCATGAATGATTTTCGAATCTGTAAAATAAGCATCTAATTTTTGGTTTAGACATATACATAGATAGCCCCATTAATAGATAGAGAGCTAGATGGAAAGATCTGGGTTCAAGTACTTCTGACATAGTACCGATCCTGAGGAATCTCTTAACTTCTCAGTGACTTAGGCAACTAATTCTCCAAAACTACAAATTGTAAAGATCCGTAATTTCACAGGTTTGGGAACTACTGGCAGAGAAAACTCTTTCTACCCATGCAATATCATCGACCTCTCTATTGTTTATAGCCATCAAGAGCTGCTTGTCCTACCAGGAGGTAAAAGGACTGGCCCAGGGTCACAGAGTTAGTAGGTATCATAGTAGAATTTGAATTTAGGCCATCCAAAGCTGGCCTTCCATCCAATACACCACACTGCCTGTCCAGTTTATATGACATCCAAAATAGAATCAGATCAGGAAAAGAAAAGAAAGGAAATAGGATTTTTAAAAAGTATATATTATATATATATATATATATAAATACATGTATACATATATTTATATGGATATGGATTTAGAGATAGAGATATATAGCTATAGATAGACACAGAGAGAGATATAGTGATAAAGATAGATAGATAGATAGATAGATAGATAGATATAGGTATAGGCATGGAGATAGATACAAATACAGATAAAGATACAAATGTAGATAATAATTTCATAGAACAAATCCCCTTAATAAAAGGATTTGTTCTATAAAACTTGGACTCAATCAAAAGGCTGCATCCAAGGACCTAGAAAGCCACATGTGGGGGGGTCTCAAGGCTGCAGGTCCCCACCCCTGATATAGATAGATATAGAGATAGAGCTATATAGATAGAAGTGGATACAGATATAGATAAACAGAGACATAGACAGATACAGATGGATACAGTGATAGAGATACATAGATACAAATAGATACATATAGACAAAGGTATAGACAGAGATAGATACAGATAAAGACATAAATGTAGATATAAAGATACAGATATGTAGATATAGAGATATAAATAGATATAGATAGATATAGGTATAGACATAGATATAGATATATACAGGGTGTTTTAAAAGTCATAATGCAGTTTTAAGCTTAAGCAGCTTTAAAACTACACTATGAGTTTTGGGACACCCTGTATATATCCAAATTAATGGAGAGACCCTTCTTTAGACAAAGTCCCTGAATCCCATGCTATGGATAGCCACAATACAGAAATCCTCTTAAAAGATCTCAGCTTACAGAAAATCTAAGAAAACAAATGCTACTTTATTTTGTTAACTAGTTGTACAACATACACAGTCATATCATCCATCCATATATTTCCCTACCTTAACCAGTGATATAGGCTTTAATATCCAAACTTAATAGATGTTTTCTTTCCAGCTGTTTTTGATTAAGGTGGAGTGTGTGTGTGTGTGTGTGTGTGTGTGTGTGTGTGTGTGTGTGTGTGTGCGCGCGCGCGTATTTAAGGTCTCAGTTAGTGAAGGGTTTCTTTAAAAGCATAACAATATACCTCTACTGATGTCTTCCACTGTAAATAGATCATCTTTAATGTTTTCCAGTCGAGGGTAACTACATAGTCATCAAGCAACAAAGACTCTGTAAGAAAATGAAATAGGATATACTTCGTCACTAATGTCACAGAGGGCTTTTACTTTACATAGGAATACAGATATAGATATATTTAGATATATAGATAGATAGGTAGATTTAGGTATAGATCTAGCTAGAGATATAGAGATAAAAACAGATAGATTTAGATGTAGCTATAACTAGATTATAGAGAACAAATATAAGATAGCCTTTGCCCTTAAAAATCTTTTGGAAATGTGGATTAAAACTTGGAACTGTTTCCAGATACTAGAATAACAGGAAGTTGTTGATTAATGAAAATCATTTGGACTTAAAGAAAATGCTTATTACACACATGCAGCCCTATGCATATGTAAATTTTAAATATTTGTAGTTTATACATATCAAGTAGAAGCAGTACCTAGGATAAGAAAAAAAAAACAACAAAATAGGCATCTTTTCCTATGATATATAGAGGCAACTAGGTGGCACAGTGAATAGAGTGGTAGGCCTGGAGTCAGGAAGACCTGAGTTCAAATTTGACCTTAGAGACTTCTAGCTGTGTGATCCTGGGCAAATCAATTAACCTGTGTTTGCCTCAGTTTCCTCAACTGGAAACATAGCAGGTGCTATGTAAATGCATATTCCCTTTCCCCTTCGTATTATCAGTACATTTAAAACATCACAGTATATATTTTTTAAAGTATTCTTTTGAATTGATCTTTTTCTAACATTTGGGTGTCTGATAAGAAAAGCAGTAGGTGATTAAAGAACTGCTTATAATGTGTCACAAATTCATACATACTAGCTATGCCCTAGATAACCAAAAAATATTGCTTAGTACTAAATCTTGCCAAGGCCAAATTCAGGCAGAGCCACAGCCAGATCTTCTCCAAGACTTTATCACCCAGTGTTAATCTACATGTAACAAATGTGCACGACACCACATCTTTACTATGAGATATAATTTTTGTCACATGGCTCCTCTCCTACTAAATTCTAGCCACTTTCAGGTACACCAGTTATTTGTTCATTCACTTTTCAGTTTGACTTAGTCAAACAAATCTACTGCTTCACTAACATTACTCCCATCCAATAAAATCCTCAGCCTGGATATTCTTTCCTACCCTGTCTCTCCCTAAGCAAGTTCTTTCCCTTCTTTAAAAAAACAGATCAAAACTTGATTTCTCCATGTAGCCATCCCAGAAATCTAAGTCAGAATCACCCTGTCCCTTCAACAATCCTCTTAACATTTCTCTTACAATATTTATAGAATGTTTAGGTTCTCACCATTTATTTTTGTCTCTTTTGTATAGCAGGTATTCCTAAAGGTATTAGTCTAGATTTTGTAAGTAGTCAGGACTCCCAGGGCATATGATCAGGTACTCTGACCTAGCCACTATTAGTAACTGTTATATCCCATATTCTTACCTCGGGAATCACTGGAGTTTACTGAGTAGAGAAGTGATATGATCAGAAATGTGTTCAAGGTAAGTCACTTTGGCAGCTATGTGGAAGATGGATTCGAATGGGGAGATACTGGAGGCAGGGACACCAATTAGAAAGCTATTGTAATGCTACAGGTGAGCATTATGAGGGTCTGAACTAATATGGCAGCCATCTGGGTAATGAGAAGATGTTGGATATGAGAGAAGCTATGGAGGCAGAAGCAAGATTTGGCAGCTAACTGAGGATGTGAATTGAGGGAAAGTGAAGAGTCATGACTAATACCGAGATTGTGAACCCAGGAATTGGAAAGATGATGGTGCTCTCAATAGAAATAGTGATATTCAAGAGGGGATGGGTAGGTGGTTTGGAGGCAAAGATAATGAGTTCAGTTTGGGAACACTGAGTTCTTCAACAAGCTTCAAGACTTCAAGTAGCCTTCAGGACATGTACTTTAAAATGTCAAACAGGCAACTGGTGATTCACAACTAGAGGTCAGGAGAGAAACTGGAATGGATATATAGATCTGTGAGTCATCGGAACAGACATGGTAATTAAACCCATGGGAGCTCGTCTGAGGAGCGACATTTGCTATGTAGGTGTTTTGAGCTGGGTCTACGCAGGTCAGTCCTCTAGGAGTTTAGGCTTAGTAATGGAACAATATGAAGCACTCATAGATCGTTCATTAGTTAACAAAAAGAGATTTACCGAGCCACCACAGCAAGAGAAAGACACTCAGCAAGGACAGGTGCTCAGGACAGCTCAAGCTCATTTAGCTGTGTTGCTCCTTGCTTCAGCTGCCCACTGTTTTCCACCAGCCAAGTATCAGTGCACACCAGGAACTTCCCACAGCTGCTTTGCACTCAGGTGACCAGAGAGTAATGCCAATAGCCAGAGCCTTTAATCCCTGAGCCAGCTAAGTTTCAAGGATGGTCTCAATACCAGTTAAGGAAAAACTATCCTAACTTCCATGAAGGTAGGGGTTAGGATATTGTACCACACTGGCTGCACTGTCCCCCTGAGGTTGAGATGATGACTAGTGATTCTTTGCCCAGAACCACCACACCATCATCGGTCCTAGCCACACTGCTCAATTCTCTTCCAAATCACTCTCCACACCAGCTACCTTGCCTGTATGTTTCCCTTCCCGTTAGAATATAAGCTTGAGAGTAGGCCATTTTGTTTTTGTATCCCCAGTGTTAACACAGCGCTAAACACATAATGCTTAAGTAATGCTTTATCTGTAGGCTAGATTAATTTTTCCTTAAATGGTATTGGAAACATCCTCAAAATTTAATTGGTTCAGGAGACTAAAGCTTGAGCCATTGACATAGCTTTCTGATATCCTAAGTACAAAAGTCATCTCACAGGGGCAGCTTTGTGGTGCAGTGGATACAGCACTGGCCTTGAAGTCAGGAGGACCTAAGCTCAAGTCCAGCCTCAGACCAAACACTTGACACTTACTAGGTGTGTGACCCTTGGCAAGTCGCTTAATCCTAATTGCCTAAAAAAAGGGGGGGGGGAAGGCAACTAGGTGGTGCAGTGGATAGAGCACTGGCTCTGGATTCAGGAGGACTTGAGTTCAAATCTGGCCTCAGACACATAACACTTACTAGCCGTGTGGCCCTGGGTAAGTCACTTAACCCCATTGCCTAACCCTCCCCCCAAAAAGAAAAAAAAAAGTCAGCTTACAAGGAGGTAAAAGTTGCTCTGTCCCGCTTGCCTGGTATACCAGGATGGTCAGTGCAGAGGCAGAGAAGCTGGCTCAAGTTGGTTAATTCCACATCCTTGCTCAGTATTATTTCTGTGCTATGGCTAAGTATATCTCTTTTTATTAATCGTTAGATGGGGATGTATGGGATGTTCAGGAGGACTAGCACCTCTAGTGTGAGGGCTTGCTGAGTCCTTTTCAGGGCTGCTCGTCCACCTTTAGTGTTCACCTGATTCACCCAGCTCTCACCTGTGGCTCCAAGAAGCTGCAGCAGGTGTAGAAGCCACAATCTGGTAAAACATCTGGGCAGATGGGCTAAACCAGGTTAAGGGTAACCAACAGGCTTCCAACCTGTCAGTGAGTTAGGGGGATGCCTACCCCAAGCATATGAAGACTTCTCTGGCACAATGGCTGGATGAGAACAATTTGTTTCAAAGGCCACGAAAGGTGGCTGAAGCACACGTGGAGCTATGGAGCAAGTAGAGCTTGGTCAGACATTGAAGATGCTTAGGTCATCCACTGGATCCTGGGCTGTCTTCAGCCATCTTGACTTTTGTCTTGCCACTGGACTTCAATGACTCTGGAAGAGAGAGTGAGGCTGATGACTTTGTGCAACTCTGCCTCACTTCAATCCAATTCGAGAGTAAATCAAAACATCACTCTGTGATGTCATTGGAACTCTTCAAAAATGAAGGATGAACAATTATTAGATGATCCACAAGTGTCTCATCTCATTGCACTTCCAAATGTGACATACCAAAGTGGCCTGAATCAGGTCCAACTTATAACAGAACTGATGAGGTTGCCAAATGAAAGTTTAGAGAGAAAGGAAGTCCCAGGAGAGAGTCTTGTACCCCTACAGGTACACTCACTGTTAGGAGGCATGACATATTTAGTGAGCCAGCAAAAGAGGTTGAAAGTCAGTCAGACAAGCAGGGGAAGAGCTAAAAACCCAGAGAAAAGAGAGCATTCAGGAAGAGCAGTCAAAAATGTCAAATGCAGCAGAAAGATCAAGAAGGATAAGGACTGAGAAAAAACCATCATATTTGGCAATTTAGAGAACACTGGTAACTTTGGAGAGAACAATTTCAGTTGAGTGATGAGGTCAGAAGCCAGAGTGCCGAGTTGAGAAACAAGAGGGAGGAAATAGAGGCAATGAGTGTAGATAGCTTTTTCTAGGTGTTTGGCTGAGAAAGGGAGAAATACTATAGGAATATAACTTAAGAGGATGATAAGGTCTAATAAAGGTTTTTTGGTTTGTTTCTTTGGTTTTTTTCTTAAGGATAGGGGAGACTTGAGCATGTTTGAAGGCATGATGAAGGAATGTGTAAATGAGAAAATGAAGATTACAGAGTGAGGGGCAATGACTGAGAGGGCAATCTGCTAGAGAAGAGAGGAAGGGATGGGATAAAAATCACATGTGGAAGAGTTGGCCTTAGAAGGAAAAGGGCTACCTCATTATTGGAGACTGGAAAAAAAGAGGAGAGAACCACCTTCCCTGGCCACATATTAAACATCTTGGTATACTGGTTAAGTAAGTGGGGGAGAAAGAGCAACTCTCATCCCCTCATGGGCTGGCTTTCATACATAGGACATAAGAAAGCTATGCCAATGGTCCAAGCCTTAATCTCCTTTGCAATGAAAAGAAGTGGAGAAGAGAGAGCTCATAGGAAATGCCCCCTACTTTCTCAGTAAAGTACAAGACAAGTCCTCAATTGAGCGAGGAAAAGATATGGAAGGTTTGAGGAGAAAAGGTTTTAAATAACCTTTTTAACAAGTGGGATAGGGAATCAGTTAGGGAGGAGTAAAAGTATTCCTTGCTAGAGTGAGGGCCCAAATGAGGTTAGATAACAAATTTGTAAGTGGATGCATTAGGTTAACTGGCTGGACTTTCTCCAACTTCATTCAGCAGCAAGTTAAGTAGAGCAAGGCAGAGTGGGGGCAGTAATCAGAGTTTCAGTTTGGCAAGGCATAAGTGGAAATAGGATAGGATGGAGCACAAGGAATTTGAGAATAGAAGACAGTATGGGGTTGAGATGGTTAATGAGAATTGAGATTGGAAAGGGAGGAAAGTCAAGTTAGAACAGGGTAACAGCCTGAGAAAGTCCAGAGGGATTAAAGGGCACAATGAAGACAAAGAATAGGGGGGTTATGAGGGGCAAGTCAAAAGGAAAGGTGAGATGATAGGAGGTTATGATCAGACAGAGGTTCGCCAAATTTTTTGATCATTGAAATTGAATACTTATAGGTGATTGTGAGATCTGGGATGCTACCATCACTGTGTGTGGCTAAGGAAGAGTCAAGGAATAGGTTATGGAATTTGAAGAGACTAAGAAACTGGGATGTCAGAGTATTTAAAAGAATGTCAATATGTGTTTTGAAGTCTCTTGTGGCAGGAGTTGTGGAGAAGACAGACAGCCAGGTACCGAGCTCCTTGAGACAGGGAAGAGAATGACCTCGGAGACCAGTAATAAAAAAATAATAATCACAACAATAATGATAGCTAACATATAGGTAGCACTTTGGTATTTGCAAGGTGCTTTACAGACATTATCTCATTTGATTCTCACAACAACCCTGGAAGGTAGATGCTATTTTTGTCCTCATTTTATAGATGAGGAGACTGATGCTGATAGAGGTTAAATGACTTGCTAGGGTCACATAGCTAGTAAGTGGTTTTTTGTTTTTGTTTTTTTAAGGCAATGGGGGTTAAGTGACTTGCCCAGGGTCACACAGCTAGTAAGTGTCAAGTGTTTGGTCTGTTTGACTTGAACTCAGGTCCTCCTGACTCCAGGGCCGGTGCTCTATCCACTGTGCCACCTAGCTGCCCCCTAGTAAGTGTTTAAGGAAGGATTATCATAACTTAACATCTCTCAGCCTTAGTTTCCTCATCTACAAAATGGGGATAATAATAGCACTTAACAGTGTTGTTATAAAGATCAAATGAGATAAAAGATATAAAGCACTTTGCAAACACTTAAAAATTTAAAAAACTAAAAAAAACAAATATAAATGAATGAATGAATGTGCCATATAGTATTTTTAAGAGGATAGAAAATTAAAAGACATAGCAATTCCTTAAAGGTTGAGAATCACTGCCTTAAAGCATTAACAGGATTCAAAAACACCAAGAATAAGCCACTAACTCTGCCTTTCTGGCCATGAAATATATTGCCAATTTTTAGTAAGATGTTTTTGGGCCTCAGATGGCTGAGACTGTCAAGGAGCAAAAGAAGGATTAAGAACAGAGTGGAAAAGTGAGCAAGCAAGGTAAGAGATAGCAGATGAGTCCTGGTACCCTGGAGGGTACCGGAAAACAATAACCTGACAGAAGAGAAATTTATGGCTAGGATCCCTAAAAAAGATGGAACACATGGCACTCAAGCATTTGCATCTTAGCTTAATCAGTTTGCATCCCTTATGCTCAGAAAGAAGAATGGCTAGGCTGCTGTTCTGCCATGGGGATTTTGAATCTGGAGCCCATGAATTTGTTTTTTTTTCAATATTTTGATAATTGTATTTTAATATAATTTTTTTCCTTGTAATCCTATGTATTTCATTTTGTGCAACTGACAACATTCTGAGAAGTAGTGCGTAGACTTGGACAGACTAACAAAGAGATCCATGACATAAAAAAAGGTTAAGAATCACTGCCCTATGAGTTGGGTCACTATACACTGGGCAAAGTTGAACATGCCTACCTTTTAAATTTCATGTCAGCTGGTATCGTAAATAATAGTATATGATTTTTTTCTTCAGAATAAAAAAAGGTTTCATATTAAATTATTTAGACATATACTAGTACACCTCATAATCAACTGCATTTTATATACAAATGAATTTTTAAAAAAACTTCATCAAGTCATGGAATTGGGAAGGGAACTTGGAGGCCATCTAGTCCAAATTCCCTTTCTTTTACAACATCCTTCAAAGATGATGATCAAATCTCAGCTTGAATAGGCTTGAGGGGTTTTTTTTCTATTTCTAGTTTTTTTTTCAATGATTAATTTATTCTTATAGTTCAACCTGAGCTGCACAATTTTATTATAACTGTGAATGAGGATAAAGTAGGGGTCATGTGCCAACTGAGAATTTTGACAAGGTGGCAGGTTCTGAGGAAAATAAAGTTTAGCTTCCTCAGTAGTTCCTAAGTCACTCACTCGTCCGATTTGACTCTCATCTTCTCTCTTCATTCTCCCAGAATTTATTTAGATTAAGAATGCCCATATAATATCACTCACTCAAAACAGTATTGAAGAGAAGGCACTATTTGTGACGACTCTTCTGATCACAAAACTGAAAAGTTCAACCTAAGTGATAAAACTACGTGAAAAGTCAGTGAAATGCCATGTAATAACTGATTATAAGGCAACTAGCAGTATGCAACTGGAAAATTCATTTTAAGAAACTGAAAAAGGGGCAGCTAAGTGGTGCAGTGGATAGAGCACTGGCCCTGGATTCAGGAAGACCTGAGTTCAAATCTGACCTCAGACATATAACACTTGCTGTGTGACCCTGGGCAAGTCACTTAACCCCACTGCCTTAAAAAAAAAAAACAAAACAAAACAACAACAACAACAAAAAGAAACTGAAAAAAAAAGTTACCTATTGGAACTCCAGGAGATCCAAATAGATTTACAAGTTGGAAAGCAAATCTCTGGGATAAGGGCAGACCAAAGGAGCTAGGCACAACACTTCGTGAGTCTCCACCGTCTTCAGCTTGTACGCATTGTGACGACTTGGATGCATTTCTTTTGTGGACACTGACACCAAAACTTCCAGAAAAAATATCAAAGTCAACACCAGGATGCTCAGAAGAAACTTTAGCAGATAATACAATATCAGGCTTTTGATTTGCGATTTCCAAAGAAATCAGTTCCATTTCATTCGGCCTATTTCCCACTGTCTGCGATTTAAACATCAGAATTCTTTTCTCATTTGTAAACAAAAACTTCAAAACAGCCCTTTGGGGAAGACACAAAGTCTGTCTCAGCTGACTGAATGATACATCATGAGACTGAAATTCTCCTCTAGGGTTGGATGCAAGATCTATGGGATAATCCTGGTTAAATCGTGATGGATTATTTTGGAGAGCCATCCCTTCTGGCTTATTCTTCTCTTCATGATTCACTTCTGAAATTCTGTCATGTTCTACAACCAAAACGTTTTTAAATGTGTGACTATCTGTTAACTGAGCATCTCTGTTCTCCTCTACACTAACCACAGCTTGTCTTGGCAGGTGAAAGTTTGGAGCCAAATTAAAAATCCTTTTGGGTCTTCCCTTCTTAGTAATTACTGCTGCTGATGTTTTCCTTTGGACATATATTTCAGGCAAGTTGCTTCTAAGGACATTAGTTTCTGACTCTATGAATGGAATTAGGTCTTTAGGTTTATTTGGAGAAGACGTCAGCTCCTCATTTCTTAATGCATCAGCATTCTCCTCCATCAGTCCTTGCACATGGTTTTCTGGTTCTGTGTTTTCATATCTGTGGACAAATCTCATTAGCTCCCCAGGGCCAGCAGGACAAGTCTGTCTGGAACACCTAACTTTCTTTTGTCTCTGTGGATTTATAAAGTTATGAGGCCCCTCAGGCCAACCAGCAAAAGAGGGCTGTGTGACCAAATCCCACTCCAGTTTTTCATCAGACAATGTGGCTGAGAAAAAAGCCCAACAATTTGTTTGATTCCTATTTGCTCTGTGCCCATATTTTAAATTTTCACATGAAGAGTCAAATTTTCCTTTAGTAAGCAGCATTTCTTCATCAGTGGGGCTTTCAGCTGACATGTTCTCCTCCTCTGTGAGAACACCTGTGGCCTTCGCAGATACAACTCTATCCTTAATGCCAAACACCACAGCCTTCATTTCAGAGCATTCAACACTTGGTACACAGGAATTATTCTGTCTTCCTACAAAGTTTTGAACCATTGTCTGATGATTAAACACGTATCCAACTGCATTTTCATGGGGAATGGATGTCAAGCTTAACGGATACAAGTTGTCACTTTCTGCAGTCGAGTCAGACCTTGGTGTACTTTCCAGAGTTACAGACATGACAGATTGAGCATTAGAAACACTTTCTTTTCCAAGTTCTGGTTTTAGGCTTTTATTACTTTCCTCACTGTGTTCATTTATAGAATCTGATGTACATCCCAGATCTCCAATGGACATGGACACTAAATTTCCATCATTCTCTTCTTCTGAGTAATGTCCTTCACTTTCAGATGTGCCCTCATCCTCTGGCACAGGATGATTTAGGGTTCCATATGAACCTTTCTCCATACAGTTACCATTACTATTCTTCAGTTTCCTATTTCTTCTCCTGTTTCTCCTCTGACTCGCTCTGCTAGGTTTCTGTCCAGTTTTCTTCAAATTTTCTTCTCTAAATATGGAAAATAGAAATTAGAAAATTTACAACCATGCTATTTAATTTACTGGGAATGACAAAATGGTAGTGCTTTTTTGTATCATGTGACAACATTAGCAGGTTTCCACACTATACTCATGCATAGACTTGAACAATTTATATGTTCTCAAGAAAGTAGAAATGCACATTATACACTCAAAAATTTAAAACTTAAATACAAATACAAAATAAATTTACTTTTAAAATTCTATTCTCACATATACTTTGAAGTATTCTCATATAACTTTTTAAATCAACCAATTTTATAAAATAGTTTCAATGGCAGTTTCTTGAAACAAAGAAATTCTTAGTATTGTCTCTTAATCTACCAATAAGCAATTGAGATTTCCTAATGTCACAAAGTAAATTCATTTTGGAACACATTTTGTTCATTCTCGGAACATCAGTGGCTTCCTAACAGACCAATCCAACTAAGTTCAACAACATTTATTACGTTTATAATATGTGCCAAGCACTGCACCAAGTGCTAAACATATAAAGACAAAAAAAGTACCTACCTTTAAGTAGCTCACTTTTTGACTCACAATATTAACTTTTCATATTAGTGGGTAGCCCATCCCTGCATCTGTTTCCAAAATCTGGGGTGAGCAAATAGCCTGAGTGACAACGATTCCTTCTCTGTCTAGCATACAAAAATGAATTTGCCTTACTTGACTTTTATGATGGAAGTGATTTTGTCCTAAGGGATTTCTCTTTGGTGTTACTTTCCCTTCATCCTTTATGTAAAAATGTGGTTGTCCCCACAGTGAGAAAGTAAAGAGGGATAGGATGGGGTGAGTACAGGGAATGAGCCAAAAAAAAAAAACAGGCAGAAAGACAAAAAAAAGGTACACAAGGAGGAGCAGAGAAAAAGACTAGGCTCAATGAAAGAGGGAAAAGAAAAGATAAAGAATGAAGCAAACAGACCACTGACCGTAAGAGTTGAAAAGAGTAAGCAGAACTTTACTGACCTTCAACCTGTTTTCATTTCCAGATTGTGGAGTAATTTATGAGAGGTAAAAGGTGAACAACTCAATCTTTATCTTGTAACTTATAGGAGATAAAAGTCCTATTTCCAAGTAACTGGATATTGGTTTAGAAATGTGAACACTGAAAGATAATGAACGATCTCAATACAATACTGATGAGGCTTCTGTGAGAATAGCCAGACTGGAGGGACAATTCCAAACAGCAGCAGCATCAATTATCTCAAGGGTCATTGAAGTAAATGTTTTCAACAACTAACCTCTATGAGCCTCAGTTTTCTCATCTGTGAAATGGAGTTGATAACACCTGCAGTACCTTTCTCAAAGGGTAATTGTGAAGAAAGTGCTTTACAACTTTTAAAGCACTATACCAATAGGGCAAAGATATGGTTCCCTACAGTTGGGTGGGGCTATCAGCCATTCTCACTTTCCTTTGTACTTTTTTGTGGGTGGGGGCCATTCATCCCTTTGAGTACTCCCTCAGCTGCTTTCCTCTGGGAGGGTCTGTCTGCTCCAAAAATGGCAGAGGCTTCATCTCATTACTAGCCCAGCTAGTTATATTACCTTGACACTGCTAACTCATTTATTGACTAGAGCTGGGGTTCTTAACCTAAGATTCTTGGACTTTAAAAAAAATTTTTTTATATTGTATTTTAACATAATTTCCTATTGTATTTATTTTATGTATATGTATTTATTTTGTTTTAAAGAATATTATTCTAAGAAAAGGGTTCATACGTTTTACCAGACTACTAAAGTCTGGCACAAAAAAAAAAAGAAAGAAAAGATTAAGAACCTGGTATTCATTATCTGTCCTATGAAGCTGTAAAAATGAACTTCTAATTTTTTTAAGCTCTGAGCCCCCAGTCCACAAGAGTGCTATCAAAAATGCTATCACTATCTCCCAGGAAAAAATCCTTCAAAAACTTTCCAGATATATTCCCGAATAAATATAAACAAAACAGCAATGTCTAGAGTTAAGTTTATCACAACTGCCAGCTTAAGAAACAAAATAAATGTTTAAACAAAGAGTAAACAAACTTTTAAGAAAAAGATATTCCTCCTCCCAGTTGGAAAAGGCACTGATCTCCAGTGAGGTAAGAGAGATAGCTTAATGAGAAAAGAAAAATGAATCACTACCTCGGGATCTTCACTGGGATTGGGGAAGGGTAGTCAGTAATACATCCTTCTCAATCACCTCATGCAAGATCCACCCATATAACCCGTGTCCTGAAGTCTGGCACTACTATCCAGTTCCTGTGCATTTCCATCTTCTCATTTCCATCGTTCCAGCTCCTTTGCTTTCATAGCTTCTTTGTATCTGTAGTCTTTCACAGCTTACTCTCCTAATTGGAGAGGGAGAGACTAGATACAAGATGAGCTAGGGTTTTATTATACTAGACTAGGTGGGTGGTAACAAGGAATAGTAGTGAAAGTGAAAAGCAGCAGATGCTTGAGATAGTTGCTGGGTTGGGTCAAAAGGATTTGGCAATTAATTTGAGATATGGAAGAGGCAGGGTGAGGGGAAGGGAAGTGTTAATAATGACTCTGAAGTAATAAGCTTGAGTAACTAGGAAGATGGTGGTGCCAACAGAAATGGGGAAGATAGGGAGAGGGCCACGTCTAGAAAACAAAAAGTTCAGTATTCTTCATGTTGAACTATAGGTTTTAGCTGGACATCCAGATAGAGAGATATGCAGTAGTAAAATGGAGATTTGGGACTGGTGCTCAATGGAGGTCAAGGCTGACCTAATGCATAGAGCTTTTGTTCAGTCGTGTCTGACTCTTTGTGACCCCATTTGGGATTTTCTTGGCAAAGCTACTACAGTGGTTTGCCATTTTCTTCTCCAACTCATTTTACTGATGAGGAAACTGAGGCAGACAGGGTTAAGTGATTTGCCTAGGGTCATACAGTTAGTAAGTGTCTGAGGCCAGATTTGAACTCATTAAGAGGAATCTTTCTGATTCTAGGCCCAGTGCTCTATCCACTTATACCACCTGGTGGCCCCACACATAGCATAGAGCTATACGAGAGCATATAAGTATTATAGGAGTGTACAGACAAAAGGATGGAGGACCAAGTCTGGAGGGATGCCTAAATTTAAATGCATAAGGAAAAAGTGAATAAAACTGATAAGGTTTGTTCAAATGGCTGAAAAAAAAAAAGCAATGAGAAAAGCCATGGGAAAAGAAAATACCACGTGTTAGAGGGGGTGATGAGAAATGTTTACCAGGCTGGTCAATGTTGTCAAAAGCCGCAGAAAGGTCAAGAATGAGAAATGAAAAGATGCCCTTGCAAGTTCTCAAAAATGACAAAAAATAGGAATTCTCTACGTTGGAAGGGTTGTAGAAAGACAAGTACACTAATAAACTATTTGTGGAGCTGAGAATTGGTCTAACCACTCTGGAAAATAATTAGAATTATGCAAAGAAAGTGATTTAAATATTCACACCCTTTTGGGGCATTTTGTGTGACTTTTTATTTTTGAAAAATAAAATGTTCGGCAAAAGTATATTCCTTTTCCTCGCCCTTTTGCTTGGTTGGACAAAAAATATAAAAAATAAAACAAACCTATTTAAGTGATACAAGAAGGCTAGTACCAATCCTTTTCCTATCTGGAGAATTCCATTTAACGTGAACCCCCTCCTAATATGAATGGACAGGAATTTGATATCGGATATAAATGGCACACGTATAACATATTTCATTTTCCCCCTCACAAATTTCAACCCCAGATATTTATTCAAAGAAACTACCAAATATCTTCCTTGGCTGGGTTGCAAGATATTAATGGAACTTGAGGTTTCTCTTTATCCCACTTTTTGATAGGGAGATACTTCTGTCCCCAGTCCCTATCTCCAACCCTCAACTATAGAACTGTCTGCCTGGTCCTCATTTCTGCCATTCTGGCTGACTGTTTAGCAGGGTTGCTACACAGCAGCAAAATATCCATATTCTTTTACCCAAAAATTCTATTGCTGAGCAATACAAAATGAAAGCCCATATATACTAAAGTATTTATAGCAGCACTTTTTGTAATGGAAAAGAAATAAAAAGAATATGCCCATCAGCCAGTGAACGGCTAAACAAATTATGGTACGTAAATGTAATGGAATATTACTGTGCTGTAAGAGATAAATATAATGATTACAGAGAAGCATGGGAAGACTTTTTTTAACTGATGCAAAGTGAAGTAGAACTAAGAAGACAATATACACAATAACTATACCAATGGAAATGGGGATAACAATAAGAACAAAATAAATGAAAGTGAATACTGCAAAATTATAATGACCAAACAGCCCCAAAGAAGAGACGAGAGACTGTATCTTCCTGAGCTTCTTTGAAGAAGGCTTTGGAATGCTTCACATAATGTCAGACTTTTTTGATATACTGTTTAATGATGCTTCTTTTTTATTTTTTGTTATAAGATATCCTTTTCAGAAGTGTGGGGAGAAGACACACATTAGGAAACGTAGGAGATGTAAAAACAAAAGAGAGCAATATTTACTGTTTTAAAAAATAAGCCATCATTAAGAAGGGAATAACATATATATTCAATTGGGTATGGAAATCTGTCTTACCCTACAGGAAAATAGGGGGAGAAGGGAACAAGAGAGCAGGGGAATGATAGAGAGGAGGGCAGATTGGCAAAGGGGGTAATCAGAAGTACATACTTCTGAGGAGGGACAGGGTCAAAAGAAAGAATAGAATAAATGGGAAGGCAGGATAGGATTAAGGGAAATAGAGTTAGTTTTTCACAACATGTCTACTATGGACGTGTTTTGCATAACTGCACATGTACAACTTATATTGAGTCGCTTGCCTTTTCAGTGAGGGTGGGTGGGGAGGGAGGAAGAGAGATAATTTGAAACCTAAAGTTTTAAAAACATATGTTTAAAAAAATGTTTTCACATACTACTGGGAAATAAGAAATATAGGAAATGGGGTACAGAAGTCTATCCTTTCCTACAGGAAAACAGAAGGGG